TAGCGTAGGGCCTGAGGAGGAAGTCTACATAGCCAGACAATCCTGCTGTCAGGGTGCCAATGCCTGAGATGATGGGGTGTCCAGGATTTCCAGGTTTATGGATCTTGGGTAGCAGATGGAATACCCCAGGTCAGGGTTCCAGGGGTGTATCTGTGTGGATTTGTTCTTGTGCTTTTTTCAGGGAGTTTCTTGAGCAAATTCTGTAGTTTCTTTTGGTAACCCTCAGTGGGATCAGAAGGTAATGGCTTGTAGAAAGTGGTGTTGGACAGCTGCCTAACAGCCTCTTGTTCATATTCCAACCTAGTCATGATGACAACAGCACCTCCTTTGTCAGCCTCTTTGATTATGATGTCAGAGCTGTTTCTGAGCCTGTGGATGTCATTGTGTTCTGCACAGCTGAGGTTGTGGGGCAAGTGATGTTGCTTTTCCACAATTTCAGCCCGTGCACATCAGTGGAAGCACTCTATGTAGAAGTCCAGTCTGTTTCAACCTTCAGGAGGAGTCCACCCAGAATCCTTCTTTTTGTAGTCTTGGTAGGAAGCTCTCTGGGTTAGTATGATGTTCAGAGGTGTGTTGGAAATATTCCTTGAGTCAGAGGCATCAAAAATAGGATTCTAGGTCACCACAGAACTGTATCATGTTCATGGGGGTGGAGGGACAGAAGGAGAGGCTCCGAGATAGGACAGATTCTTCTGCTGGGCTAAGAGTATAGTTGGATAGATATTCTTGTCAACTGCTGGAAATGGCCCACCTTGATTATCAATACAAAAGATTCTCCCCTCCCTGCCCCCCCCCTCTGCTCTCCTGCTGGTAATAGCTCACCTTACCTGATCACTCTCCTTACAGTGTGTGTGGTAACACCCATTGTTTCATGTTCTGTGTGTTATAAATCTCCCCACTGTATTTTCCACTGAATGCATCCAATGAAGTGAGCTGTAGCTCATGAAAGCTTATGCTCAAATTTGTTAGTCTCTAAGGTGCCACAAGTCCTCCTTTTCTTTTTGCAAATACAGACTAACACAGCTGCTACTCTGAAACCTGTCATTATTCAAAGCTACAGTGAATGGCTGTGCTGCACCAGGGAGTCAAAGAGGCTGAAGAGAGGTGGCTGAGAGAGAGGAAAGTGACAAGATCGAAGAGGATACTGTAGCAGGCCTCAAGTGCCACTAATATGCCAGCTTCTCCTGGCTCTGCACTTTATACTTGCATTATCTGTATAAAGGATTGTCACTCAAGAATTGGACTTTTTAGCCACTTGTCATGACACATAGTAACTGAAGTAATTTGGCACTTACACCATCTTTAGAGATGGGTGGTTGCTACAAGGGTATTAATAAGGAGATATTGGACAAGACCCTTATGAGGTACCTAGAGTACTCCATCCAGGCTGAGCGGTCTTAACTGTGCAATACATAGAACAGACAACAGCTACTTCACTGATCAGATTTACAAAAGATTTAGCTATGACAATAGACTGAAAAAATTAAGGCCATACAAGTTGGAGTTGAAGAAACAATGACAGAAGGGGGCTGTGTGGGAGAATTTTTCATGGAAGGGATTTGAGCAATGTAGGTAAAGACAAAGAATCTCTTTCAAATAAGCAGCGATAGCAGAGTGTTTGGGTAGCTCTGGACATTTTTTAAATAAAGCAAATACATAGAGCGGCTTAATTTTCTGAGAGTAATCAGTGTTTGGAATTATCTTCCCCAGGAGATACTAGCAGAAGTCATGTTCTAAGAGTCAAGGAGAAAAATGAGCAATTACTTCGGTAAAAGGCTTGTCAAGGTATAACTGGCTTAGATGCTTAAAGGAAAACCACCCATTTTGCTCAGCCAACCAGAAGAAAAGTTCAGTGGGTAAATAACACTTTTCAGTGTGCAAACTATGAAATTTAGGTTGTTTAAAGTTTAATTGCAATTATCATTTGTGGGATATTTAAGGATATACACCTGCATACCCGTCTACCTTAGTTCTGTCTCCAACATGCAATAGACAGAAAGGTACAAACTAGACATCCCAAACGGGACCAGGCTGCACCATTATTGCACATGCTGTCTACTAGTCTGTTTGTACACTGCCTAGCACAAAGGTTGGTCCTTGAGGCATTATCATAATAAAGATGATTAATAATAAATGCCAACCGGACACAATTAATGCATTTTAAACCTAGAAGGCAGTATTGTTTTCATCTAGTTTGACCACCTGCATAGCACAGGACATAAAACTTCACCCAGTAATCTCTGCTTCAAGCCTATACATTTTGTTTGAGCTCTGTTATGTTCACAGCATACACACAGAGAAGTTAGATAAAAACATTAAATATTGTTGCAGGAAGGGTGCAGCATAGTACTACTTTATTTCTTAGAATTGAGAAAATTAACCCAGACGAACTGAAAAACAGAGAAAGAGAAAGCAGGCAGCTCCCTAAAAACAGAGGATATGTCTACACTGTAATGTGAGCTCAGGGTCCCAGGACCCCACAGGGGTGGAGGTTCCAAGCCTGAGTCAAGCCACCACCTAGGGTTCAAGCCCTATTGCCTCACAGTGTAGATACAGCCCCACTGGACTTGTGCTCTGAGGCTATGTCTACATTACGAAATTAGGTCGACTTTATAGAAGTCGTTTTTTTAGAAATCGATTTTATACAGTCGATTGTGTGTGTCCCCACTTAAGACCATTAAGTCGGTGGGGTGCATCCACAGTATCAAGCCTAGCATCGACTGCCGAAGCGTTGTGCTGTGCGTAGCTATCCCACAGTTCCCGCAGTCTCCTCCGCCCATTGGAATTCAGGGTTGAGATCCCAGTGCCTGATGGGGCAAAAAACATTGTCACGGGTGGTTCTGGGTACATGTCGTCAGGCCCCCCTCCCTCCATGAAACCAACAGCAGACAATCGTTTCACGCCTTTTTTCCTGGGTTACCACGGCAAACATGGAGCCCGCTCAGCTCACAGTCACCATACAGCTCCTGGGTGCTGGCAGACACGGGACTGCATTGCTACACAGCAGCAGCTCATTGCCTTGTGGCAGCAGATGGTGCATTATGACTGGTAGCTGTCCTCGTTGTCTCCTGGGTGCTCTTGGCTGGCCTCGGTGAGGTCAGTCGGGGTGCCTGGGCAGACATAGGTGCTCCTGGCAGATCTTGGTGAGGTCTGTCAGGGGCGCCTGGACATAAATTGGAGTGACTCAGGTCATTTGCTTCTTTAAGTTTTGTCTAATGGAGATTCAGTCCTGCCTGGAATATTGACAGAGGGATAGCTCAGTGGTTTGAGCATTGGCCTGCTAAACCCAGTGTTGTGAATTCAATCCTTGAGGGGGGTATTATGCCTCAAGCTGCTCTCCCAGTCAGCAGCACTGTGACCACCCAGGAGATGATGACAGCTAGCAGTCATACTGCACCATCTGCTGCCAGCCTACCCCTTGCTCCTCCCCAGTGAAAGCAATGGCTAACAATTGTTTTGTGCCCTTTTCTGTGTGGGCACCATATTGCTGTCAGCATCGCAATCCACCCGCCGCTTCCGCTGCCACTCTGCTCTCGTGCAGACACCATACCACGGCAAGCATGGAGCCCGTTCAGATCACCAGGGCAGTTATGAACATTCTAAACACCATGTGCATTATCCAGCAGTATATGCAGAACCAGAACCTGCAAAAGCAGGCGAGTAGGCGATGGTAGCGCGGTGAGGAGAGTGATGAGGACATGGACACAAACTTCTCTCAAAGTACGGGCCCCAATGTAGACATCATGGTGGTAATGGGGCAGGTTCATGCTGTGGAACGCTGATTCTGGGCCTGGGAAACAAGCACAGACTGGTGGGACCGCATAGTGTTGTAGGTCTGGGACGATTCCCAATGGCTGGAAAACTTTCGCATGCGTAAGGGAACTTTCATGGAACTTTGTGACTTGCTTTCCCCTGCCCTGAAGTGCCAGAATACCAAGACGAGAGCAGCCCTCACAGTTCACAAGCAAGTGGTGATAGCCCTGTGGAAGCTTCCAATGCCAGACAGCTACTGGTCAGTCGGGAATCAATTTGGAGTGGGCAAATCTACTGTGGTGGCTGCTGTGATCCAAGTAGCCAGTGCAATCACTGAGCTGCTGCTATCAAGGGTAGTGACTCTGGGAAATGTGCAGGTAATAGTGGATGGCTTTGCTGCAATGGGATTCCCTAACTCTGGTGGGGTGATAGATGGAACACATATCCCTATCTTGGCACTGGAGCACCAACGCAGCAAATACATAAACCGAAAGGGGTACTTTTCAATGGTGCTACAAGCACTGGTGGATCACAAGGGATGTTTCACCAACATCAACGTGGGATGGCCGGGAAAGGTACATGACGCTCGCATCTTCAGGAACTCTAGTCTATTTCAACAGCTGCAGCAAGGGACTCTCTTTCCAGACCAGAAAATAACCGTTGGGGATGTTGAAATGCCTATAGTTATCCTTGGGGACCCAGCCTACCCTTAATGCCATGGCTCATGAAGCCTTACACAAGCACCTTGGACAGTAGTCAGGAGCTCTTCAACTATAGGCTGAGAAAGTGCAGAATGGTGGTAGAATATGCATTTGGATGTTTAAAAGTACGCTGGTGCCGTTTACTGACTCGGTTAGACCTCAGCGAAACCAGTATTCCCATTGTTATTACTGCTTGCTGTGCGCTCCACAATATCTGTGAGAGTAAGGGGGAGACGTTTATGGTGGGGTGGGAGGTTGAGGCAAATCACCTGGCCGCTGGTTACGTGCAGCCAGACACCAGGGCAGTTAGAAGAGCACAGGAGGGCGCGGTGTGCATCAGAGAAGCTTTGAAAACCAGTTTCATGACTGGCCAGGCTACAGTGTGAAAGTTCAGTTTGTTTCTCCTTGATGAAAACCCCCGCCCCTTGGTTCACTCTACTTCCCTGTAAGCTAACCACCCTCCCCTCCCGCCTTCAATCACTGCTTGCAGAGGCAATAAAGTCATTGTTGCTTCAAATTCATGCATTCTTTATTAATTCATCATGCAAATACGGACATAACTGCCAAGGTAGTCCAGGAGGGGTGGGGGAGGAGGGAAGGACAAGGCCAAACTGCACTTTAAAACTTATTGAATGCCTGCTTTCTGTTGCTTGGGCAATCCTCTGGGGTGGAGTGGTTGGGTGCCCAGAGGCCCCCCCACCACATTCTTGGGCATCTGGGTGAGGAGGCTATGGAATTTGGGGAGGAGGGCAGTTGGTTACATAGGGGCTGTAGCGACGGTTTGTGCTCATGCTGCCTTTCCTGCACCTCAACCATACTCCAGAGCCTATCAGTTTGATCCTCCAGTAGCCTCAGCATTGACTCCTGCCTTCTGTGAGCAAGCTGACACCACCTATCATCTTCAGCCGACTACCTGTGCTCGCCTTCATATTGTGCTTTCCTGGACTCTAACATTGTCTGCCTCCATGCATTCTGCTGGGCTCTTTCGGTGTGGGAAGACTGCATGAGCTCAGAGAATACTTCATCGAGAGTGTGTTTTTTTCACCTTCTAATCTTCACTAGCCTCTGGGAAGGAGAAGATAGTGTAAGCATTGAAACATTTTCAGCTGTGGGAGGAAAAAAAAGGGAGAGTAGTAGTTAAAAAGACACATTGTAGAGAACAATGGGTAGACTCTTTCTGGGTGCATCTTGCTGTTAACATTACATAGCACATGTGCATTCAGTACAAGGTCACATTTTGCCTCTTATATTGAGGGTCTGCCAGTTTGGTGTGAGAGATCACACAAGCAGGGCTGGCAGGCAACAGTATTCAGCTTGCAGGCAGCCATGGTAAGCCACAGTCTTTTGGCTTCTTTAACCTTCATAACATGTGGGAATGGTTTCAAACAGCAGCACCCTCATTTCCCATACCAAACAGGCGTTGGGTTGGCCATTTAAAATGGGTTGGCAATTTAAAAGGAGGGGCTGTGGTTTTCAGGTTAACGTGCAGCACAAACCCAACTAACCACCCCCCCACACACACACACACATCCCCAATTCTCTGGGATGATCACTTCACCCGTCCCCTCACTGTGTGGCTAACAGCGGGAAAGATTTCTGTACAGCCACAGGAAACAGCCCAGCAGGAACGGCCACCTCTGAATATCCCCTTAATAAAATTACCCTATTTCAACCAGGTGACCATGAATGATATCACTCTCCTGAGGATAACACAGAGAGATAAAGAACGGATGTTGCTTGAATGCCAGCAAACACCGGGGCCATACGCTGCCATGCTTTGTTATGCAATGACTCCACACTACATGCTACTGGCCTGGCCATGGTTTGCTGTTCCCGGGCAATGGGAGCTGCGGGAAGTGGCGGCCAGCACATCCCTGCGGCCCACATTTTCCCACAGCTCCCATTGGCCGGGAACAGCAAACCACGGGGAGGGGCTGTGCCTGCGGACAGTCAACGTCAGCAAAATGTCTTGCAGCCCACAATCAGATTACCCTGATGGGCCACATGTGGCCTTTGGGCCAGGTTGCCCACCACTGCTGCACATGCTCAAGCCCTAGGTTAACAAATTGGGGGTCTGCTAAATTGAGTTCTACTAACCCTGGGCTTACACTTCAGTGTACACATACCCAGTGGGACACAACTCAAGCCATCCTGATCCAGGCTATCTGTAGAACTGACTCTGATGCCATGCTTCCATACAGAGCTGCTAGTCTGCAAGCAGAACTAGGAAAAGCCCTGAGAATTGAAGTGATAGGTCAAAATTTTAACACAGATTTCACAATATACCACAAGCTCTATTATATCTTTTAGAAATATACACAGCCTTGTATATAGAGGAAGGTTTACATATAGGGGATATATAGGGAAACCTTCTAAAAAAGTTTGGAACAGTTCCATTTCTTCTCTGCTCTTGTCTGCTCTTTGGACTGCAGTGTTCATACCCAATCTTGTACCTATTTGCGGTTAGTAATCATGGTCTTTACCCTTTCAGCATTGTATTCCTCTAAAGTGCTGGTACTTTCAAAGCCGAATTTTCCATTGCCTTGCACCTTGTGTAGTCATATTACAAACTGTCACAATGATATCATTTTACGAGGTTCAAGACAATGAAGAATTAGCCATCATGCACCACATGAGGCAGCCCCAGACATAGAATCATAGAATCATAGGACTGGAAGGGACCTCAAGAAGTCATCTAGTCCAGTCCCCTGCACTCATGGCAGGACTAAGTATTATCTAGACCTCCCCTGACAGGTGTTTCTCTAACCTGTTCTTAAAAATCTCCAATGATGGAGATTCCACAAACTCCCTCGGTAATTTATTCCATTGATTAATCACCCTGACGGTTAGAAAGTTTTTCCTAATGTCCAACCTAAACCTCCCTTGCTGCAATTTAAGCCCATTGCTTCTTGTCCTATCCTCAGAGGTTAAGAACAACATTTTTTGTCCCTCCTCCTTGTAACAACCTTTTCTGTACTTGAAAACTGTTATCCTGTCCCCTCTCAGTCTTCTCTTTTCCAGGCTAAACAAACCCAATTTTTTCAATCTTCCCTCATCGGTCATTTTTCTAGACCTTTAATCATTTTTGTTGCTCTTCTCTGGACTTTCTCCAATTTGTCCACCTCTTTCAGCGTACGTGCTTTTTGCACCTTATATTTTGTTCACCGATCGTAATTCAGATGGTTAAAAAATAGTATTCTTCAAAAATGCTAGATCAAAAAAGCTAATCTGAGGAATTTGGAGGAGAATATTTGGAGTAAAGGCTGTTCCATTGCCAATAGATATGGGCTACAAAAGGATCCACAGTTCATCTACTCCAATCAGAATCAGCCATGTGTTTATGACTCAGTTTTTAATTCTGGTTTAGTGTGGCATTTTCATTCACTTAAAACACTGGGAGTTCTCCCACTAAAGGTTTTGTAAGTAATCATATGTAATGAGGAGTTCCCAGAAAAAGAATCAAGATTAGTCACAATAGACTTACCCAATAGATTTGTGAGATACTGATATTATTTGAAGAAGAATAAATAACAGAAGACAGAGAATATCCTGTTTCTACTTTGTCTATTGAACTACTCAATCTGCTGCCTTAATGAGTTCTTTAACTTCATATTCCTATCTATAATTGAAACATAAAATAAAAAGAAACTTTTTAAAAAAAATCAAATAATAATTTAGCCAGCTTTTTTATTTCATCTTTGTTGAATTATACTTCATAGAGTAATAACGATGTCCTTAAATGGTACCTTAAAAATTCACTCTTCATCTCATAAGTGCTTTCAGATGCTTGTGCATTACATTTTGGGGGATTTGTTTCTTTCAGTTCTAACATAGCCATTTTACAGATTCTTCAAAGAATAATTCAGACCAACAGTGGGCACAATAGTATATTTTGCCTTTGAAATGACTTATTCTTTGAGACACTGCCTGTCTCTGAGATGCAAAAATTATCCGTATCCCTGTGGACTCAGTTCAAAACAAAAGTTCTAAAGTAGTTTATGCCAATTTTTTAAAAATTGCTTTTTAAGAGCTGGAGAAAAACAGAGGGAAAAGTTTTTGAAGTTTCCAGCAAGTATTAATGGACTTTATTAATAGGTACTATGAAACTGTGCATTTTTCTCCAACATTTTTTGCAGTATGTTGTGCTTATTACACATCAAAATAGCTCACAATTACTTTCCTAAATCAAGACACTGTAGTATCAATTTCCATTTACATGTAAATAAACTGGTATTCTTGGGACAAAATCAGGTAATCAAAACAGCACCATAGGGTGTCTATGAAGCTATATCAGGCACGGAGGTGTAAGGTGAATGGATGCGGGGGAAAAAATCTCACATTTTTGACTGTTGTCATTATTATCTATACCACAGAAGTACCCAAAATCCACAACCAGGACAAGGGTTCCATTTTGTGATGTGGTGTACAAAAATATGAGCCCTGCCTTGAAGAGCTTACAATCCAAAAACACAAAAAATAGATAAAGGGTAAGGAAAAGGGGTACAAAATATAACGTGGCCAAAAATATAATGAAGGCATAGGATGGATGAGACAGAAAACTGAAGGAAGAGAGTAAACATAAGCAGAGGAAAAGAAAGAGAGGGAAGGATGAACATTGAAGGGGAAGTTCAGACAGGGAGAAGAAAAAAGGGAGTGAAGGATGAAGAGCAATGTGGAAGGTAGGGAGAGTGAGATATGGTGCAGGAACTGTGAGGGAAAGTAAGGTGGGAGGACATAAGTCAAACCACGGACAGAAAAGAATGTCCAGATTTCAAATTGTAAAACTCATTCTGCTGACATCATTCACACCCAGGGGCTGAGCCTGTGACACTTAATGGGGATGGGATAGGGGCACTGCACAGGCCTCTCTTGCTGCTGCTGCTGCTATTCTTGGTTGCTATGGAGGCCTCAGATATTCCCAGGGATGGGCCCATTAAGCCCTGTAAGGCTAGTACCCGCAGTGAATGACGGCTGGTTCCTTTCTCTTGTGTATCTCCTCTTATTAGGGGACTAGTTCACAGGACTCAGTCAGGTTAAGAATCTTGGGTAGAATCATGATTAAGTGACCTGCTCAAGGTTACAGAGCTAGTCAGTTTCACTTTGCAGGGAACCCTACATTCCCAACTCGGTCATGTGCTGTTAGGATGGACTAATGTACACAAGCAAAGTTCATGGGGTCAGAATCTGCATGCAGTTACACTAGTGTAAATTCAGAGTAACCACTAAAATAGAATAGAATTACTTGGCTTTACACTGGTCAATAGACTTACTTTAGATTTACAATGGCTTAAATTAGGACAGAATCTTTCCCTTAACTGTTACATTTGTCAGTGACCCAACTACTGTCCATCATTAGTTAGGTAGATGCACATTCAGCAGCTGTGAGGTGATGACTTCTTCAGCCAGCCTTTGTCTAATACTTCAACAGTATGAAGTGCTCCCTTGTATATATTTGTATGCCAGCTCTGCTCCATTATGTATTCCTTCTTCCTGCTTCCTTCTTCTAGCTGATTTAGTAGCGGAACTGGAATGAGTTTTATGGTCTGGGCTACAAGTATGTATTTGGCTAACTGTACCTAAAACCTGACAACTGCAGCTGCTGTGGGTAGGGGGCATAATGTAAAAAAAAAATATGTCTTCAAAATGTTGATGTTTATTTCCCTTTTGTGGAGTTTAGACCCTTTTAAAAATTGTACATGATAATTTAATCATAATTTTTATGTACCACATTATCAAAACAGTTAAAGATTTTTGTCTCCTACAAAGTGGTTTTTAGTAAATGAAGTTTCAATAACCATTTTGATAAAGAAGTTACAAAAAACTTTGTGAAACATGAAGTTTTGAAAAAGTCAATTTTTATTAAACTTATGAAGTTTTTTAAAGAGTATTTTAAAAATATTGTTCAAAAATTTTGGCCTGTTCTATTTATGATTGCTAATCCCTGTCACTGGTATATACTGTCATGGGGCCAGATTCTATAACTCACCAGCTGTCCCATTGACTTCATCAGGATTACCTGCATAGTAAGGTACAACTCTCTCTGAGTTATGTTAGTGGAACCTTTGTGCTTACTCACATAAGTAGTCTCATTGACATCAGTGGGAATACTCATGTGAGCAAGTGCTCACCTGCATAAATAAGGGTTGCACAATCCAACTGTAAGCGGAGTCAGGATGAGCTCTACCCTCACATCTGGTGGTGAGTCATGGTGGGCTGTGGAAAAGAACTTCAGGGGCTGATCTCATTTGCATAGGCACACCCAGACTGCCTAGATGCTCACTTTGGCTTCTGTAGGAGCCCCAGTTTCTCTGTTATTGGGGCAGGAATAAACAGTTATTATCCTGATTATGTGAATCAAGGACAGTGGAACTGTACTTGGCCTTTTGTTAGGATGGAGGGACTCACCATCAACTAAGCAGCACTCGCTAGGCAAGGGTCGTGGGTTCCAAAACCCAGTGAATGGAGAGAGGCTGGAGATAGGTATTAATACTTGGTGGTATGGGTCCCCTGCTGAGGCTAATTGCACTTCCTCCTCTCTCCACTGTGGAATATCAGAGCTAATTTTGATTCCATTAGGAGTCTACTTATAGGCTGCTGAGCTAAATTCACTTTGGGCTAATGGTGCACCAACACTGTGGCTCCCCTACTACAAGCTGAAATCACAAAAGAGCTAAACTTACTAAGAGCTGAAATCATTGAGTGTTGTGTTAAGTACTGGGGGAGCCTGAAGATATATTGCGGAGCAGTTTGCGGGATGGCTGGCAGAGCGGAGCGGCTGGTGGAGCAGAGCAGTTTGTCGGATGCCTGGAGCAGCTCATGGGGGCGGCTGGCAGAGCAGAGCCCCATGGAAAGGTGGGGTCATCAGCTTTGGACCACGTAAGGTGAGCCTTAAACCCCTCCCCCCCCATCTCCACCCAGGTTGGGAGGTAAAACTCTGCAGATAAACTTTCGAACTCTGGGCCTGCCCTGACCAGGGACAGAGACTTTTGCGTCATTGGACTTTTGGGACTGTGGGTGATTTTGGGTTCCTGGACTCAAGAACTAAAGGGAAAGGACATGCCCCAATTTGCTTGGGGTGGGTTTTTTCCTCATGGGTTGTGTTATGAATCCTGTTGGTGGTGTTTCCCCAACATAATGCCACATTGTTTCTCTCTGTTATTAAAAGGCTTTCTGCTACACTCAGACTCTGTGCTTGCGAGAGGGGAAGTATTGCCTCTTGGAGGCACCCAGCAGGG